TATTATGGAACTCTTCAGTGCCCTTTGGTGGGGAGTGGGGAGGTCCCTGTTTGACATGTGGGGGACCCGTTTAGTTGGGCTTTGCTTTCATGAAACTCTCGCAGGCCGGGGACTCCGATATCAGGGCTTATAGGGCTTAGAATAGTGGGGTTTAGGGTTTAGTATAGTAGGATTTAGGGTTTAGAAGGGTTCAGGGTTTAGAAGGGTTGTGGGTTTAGAAGGGTTTAGGGTTTAGACGGGTTCAGGGTTTAGACGGGTTTAGATCGGGTTTGGGGTTTAGAAGGGTTTTGGTCTAGGGGTTTTGCGTTAGTAGCATTAACTTACGGAGCCTTCCTTGCTTCCCTAAACCCTAAACCCTAAACCCTAAACCCTATGCTTCACTGGAGATGATTGTAGTTTGTGGTTACTCTGAGGGCTAAGGCCTCGAGGGCTTATGTTTTGTCAAACCTTACAAACACATATACTCATACACACACACACACACGCCTGCATACATACATACATACATACATACATACATACATACATACATACATACATATATATATATATGTATATATATATATACATACACATATGTAAACAGACCTATCTAGATATAGGTATAGACGTAGGTATACTGGACACTGGTTGAGGCAGGTCGAGGTTTCGGTTTACGACACCGCAGCAGCTACCAGCTCGTGGTCCTCTCTACAGTCTTAAGGGTTTAGGGTTTAGGGTTAGGGGTTTAGGGTTGGGGGTTTAGGGTTTAGGGTTGGGGGTTTAGGGTTTAGGGTTGGGGGTTTAGGGTTATAGGGTTTAGGGTTTGGGCACTGACCATGACTGCATGCGACAATGCACAGGTAGACAGAAATCATTGTCCCCTTCGAAGTTCTGAACGCTCCGACCTTCCAACCAATGCTAAACGCAGCTGTGATAAATCGGACTACTAATATCCCAAACTTTGTAACGAACATCGAAGGCGCATGGAAGCCTGACCATTGGAGCTTGCCAGAAAGCAGACGTGCAAAAACCTCTATACTGCACACAGCCTCTAAAGCCCGTCCTTACCAACGTCGCCGAGCAACTCGTCTTTAGATAGCGTACTCTAGGTCAGGCTACAATCAAAGACCCCAAAACACTATTCTGCTGACATGTGCCCTCCCGTTGAAAACAAATATTCTTGTAAGGGCTGAGTGTTCAGGCAATTTGGCTGTTGTAGAAGATCTCCGCGAAGCGGCGTTCTTCTCCGTCTAGCTGCCGTCGACAGTGACATCCTTCCTTACGGACAAAATGTACCTTAAAAGAGTTTAAGGTTCAGATACCATGAGGGAGTTCATAGACTGTCATAGACACCGTAAACCCTGAACCCTAAACCCTAAACCCTACCGGTTTAGCCCTTACTTTAAGAGCCGCTTTGTGTTCAAGGTTGAGCAACCGAGTGCACAGAAAACCGAAGCTTCGGGTTTAGGGTTTAGGGTTTTGGGGTTTAGGATTTAGGGTTTCACATGTCGTGTTTAGGATTTAGGGTTTTGGGGTTTAGGGTTTGGGGTTTAGGGTTTTAGTCATACTACTGTTGATGATATACATCCTGCCTTCCCTTAAGCGCCCTAAACTATGGGAATTATGGTAAACTCCTTATTAGGGGTAATGCAGGATTTCTATCATCAACCGTATCCCTTAGGGTTCCTTTTGTAGTGTAGCTGTACGATTATTCTAGACCATTTCCCAAAACTTACTCTAATTCAGGCAATCGGCAAGCCCGAAGCCTAAGCAAGGGCTCGAGGATGCACTGTGATTCGGAGGCACCTGGAGGTTCAGGGTACTACAGGGGCTCGAATGAATAACATAGAGGCTCGCATAATTACCTATACTCTTTTATTTGGGGGTGGGGATCCGGGATCCTCATTCTAATTATCGTATACTATACCCGAAAACCCTATTCTAATTGCTAAGGCCCCTATACTAATGGCTTACTCCTAAACCCTAAACCCTAAACCCTAAGCCTGACTGAACCCTTTGGGTTCTCTTTCATACTTGGAGGGTCGGGGGACTATCTAGGGTTTAGGGCTTTGGGGTTTAGGGTTTATAGGCTTGAGGGTTTAGGGCTTAGGATTTTGGGCTTAAGGCTTATAGGGCTTAGGGTTTAGGGTCTATAGACTTTTAAACTAAGTATCATAACCCCAAGTAGGATCCCTTCTAGGGTACTTTTAAATCTACGCAAACCCTATGAACCCTAAACCCTGGAGCCGGTCCCAAACCCTAAACCGACCGCACTTACCCTCAACAAGTAAGTCCCCGAAAACCTGAGACCCCAGACCACCCGGTTTGTAGGGGTTAGGGTTTAAGGTTTAGGGAAGGTCTAGGGTTGAGGGTTTAGGGTTTAGGGTTTGGGGCTTAGGGTTTAGGGTTTAGGGTTTAGGTTTGGAGGTCTGGACGCTTTCGATATCTCCCATTATAGACAGTTTCGAATTATACATACTAGATTTAATATATCCCAACAACCTGTTGTTTCGACCCCCATCGCAAATCCTGCGAACACCTCATACGGCCCTATAACACCATGATACCATCCAAAACAACCCGCGTTGACAATTAACAAGAATACCCAAACCGTAAAATCCTCAAGCCCGACACCCTGAGCCCTAAAACCCTGATCCTTAGACCCTAAACCTCAAACCCCTAAACCCCTAAACCCCTAAACCGCTAAACCCCTAAACCCCTTAACCCTTAACCCNNCCCAAAACCCTAAAGCCCTAAAGCCCGAAAGCCCCAAAACCCCTAAGGCCCAGAGGCCCGAGCCTCCAGGGAGAAATAGAAGGTCCAAGCGAGCGCGGAAGCTTTTCTCGGGAGGGAGCTCAGCCTTTCTATGGGCCCCTCTTGAACTTTAGGAGGGTTTAGGGTTTAGGGTTGAGGGTCCTTTTTAAAAGGGTCGCCTTTGGGGTCTGGGATTTAGGGTTTAGCGTCTAAGGGTTTAGGGTTTAGGGTTTAGGGTTTAGGTTTAGGAATTAGGGTTTAGGAGTTTAGGAGTTTAGGGTTTAGGGGCTTAGGGTCAGGGTTTAGGGTTTAGGGACTTTAGGGAGGGTATAACCTATTTTTTTGGGCTTTGGAGTTTAGGGGTTATTCTGGGCCAGGGGTAGTAGTTTTACCTCAGTGCTTTACGGACTACCCCTGATGGTTTGTTCGCTTTTCGGCTGTGTAACTTAGGCTGCGCTTCATCAACCGCTGAGCTCGCTCCCGTTCAAGCCTTTGTAATGTAACGCGGCTTCCTTCCTCAACCCAAACCCGAGCCCAAACCCTAAGCCCCAGAATTCTGAGCTCGTTCTCTGGTGATGCAGATCGCGATGGCTCGAACGACGCATGTGAAAACGCTGTACTGTTGGTAAGCAACTGGTATCGAAAAGTGTGGTCTAGTGTAGAGGCCTGAATAGTTCCCTATACTCTTTTTAGGGGCTCCTTATTATGTTTATAGTATAGTATACCCCAAAACCCACTTTTAATTGAGGCCCCTACATGAGGGGCTTTTGAGGTTCTAGTTGATTCTAGTTGTATCGTATGAAGACCGAACGGTTTAAGAGGTGAATTCTCCTGAAGAAGAAGTTATAAGCTCCTTCTTGTCTATTGCATATAGACTCAAAATTCACAATGGATTAAGAACCCTAAACCCTCAACCCTAAACCCTAAATCCCGAACCTGAGTTCCTCAGGAGCCCTTTGCTTAAAGCCAAGCTCGCAACGGGTGCTTAAAGGCTCATGGGACTTCGTAAGGAAGGTTTTAGGTTTTAGTAAGGTTTAGGGTTTAGGGTTTAGGGATAACTGATAACCCGACTTAAGGTACTTCTAGCCCCAATTAAGAACACTACTTACTGAGCCCCTTGAGCCCTTCAGGGAGCCAGTCATACAGGAGCCTCCCCAAACTGGCGAGTCCTGTCTTATAAGGCTGCGGCTCCAAGTCTTTAGGGTTTAGGGTTGAGGGTTTGGGATTATGGACTTGCTCCATGTCAAGATGATCACCACCTTTATTCGACAACGGTGTTGGTCGTTCGGTACCCAGAGAGTCCAATACCCCTTAATTAAGGAATATACTAAATCATAATATGAAGCCTCTTATAATGTAATGTCTATTCCGTAATTATGGGGTATTGGGCTCTCTGGGTACATTTAGAATACAATGGCGTTCTAACCCCTAATCCGTTAAGCCCCTAAACTTTTCGGGTCACCCGGACCTCATGAGGTCGACTGCAATATGGGGACCCTAATATATTTATATATATATATATAGAGTACCCTAAATAGTAGGATCCTCATTTTAAGGACCCCAGAAGAAGGTACCCTAATTTTCGGAAAGTCCCACATATAAAAGGCCAAAGTTGGCCCCACCGGGCTTTGAAGGGAACCCCCTGGGTTTAGGGGTTTTTTGAATTTAGTCATCCTAATCTCTAAACTTAGTTCCCCAATACCCAGCCTTTAAACTTTTTGGACTCTGATAAAGATAGTAGGAGCCTGAAAGGTTAACCTTTTTATTTCCCTTGTCTATTGGGGAAGTTAGCAAACCCTAAATCCCTAAACCCGAAACCCTAATTCCGAAACCCTAACCCCTAAACCCTCCAAATGGCTACGGCTCAAGCTGTTTGGCCCAAACCTCGTCTTCCCTCTCCCTTCCTCCGCGTGTGTGCCTCGAGGTCTTCTACCAGTCCGAACCCTCTCTGTGAAGAACGGGGTGATCTTGGCGGCCAGTTGTCCTACTTCCAGTACCTCGGCACTGGGTTGGCCTGGTTTCCGGGGTGACCTTGGTGGCCTGTTGTCCTACTTCCAGCGGCTCTGTCGGAGAACCTTGCGTCCTTTGTCTTCGGTGACTTCGCTGGGGGTGACTTCTTCTTCCTCTTCTTCTTCTTCGCTGCTACTTTTGTCTTCGGTGACTTTGCTGGGGCGACTTCTTCTTCTTCTTCTGCTGCTGCTGCTGCTACTTCCGTCAGCAAGTTCGCTATGGACAGCCAGGCTACTGTTCCCGCTGAGGAGGTGATGCAAGTCGATGCGGTGGGGTCGCCTACTGAAGTCATCTCGGGTGCTGAGAGTGAGGCTGACCGTTCGCCTGCGGATGAGCCGGGGACGAAGAGCGAGAAACGCAAACGTCGTGGAGTTCCTCGTGATGGTCATGCTCTTCCTGTTCCTTCTGAAGGTGATGATGATGAACTCGACAGTCCCAGCAAGCGACCTCAGCGAAGTCTTGAGGCTCCCCTTACGGCTGCTGAGATGAGAGAGATGCTCAGTGGACACCTCAGTGAGATGAAGATGGCGTGGGGTGCATTTCAGAGTAGGATTGATAAGGTGGAGGCGGAGCAGGCAAAGAACAACTTCGAAGTCACGAACCTCCAGAGCCGCACTCGGGTCGTCGAAAAGGACCTAGTCAGTCAGAGAAAGTCTACGGAACAGAATGCTGCTGCCATCGACAACTTGGCACAAGAAGTGCAGGGCATGAAGGTCAGGCTTGACGAGTTTCAGTCAAAGGAAGCTTCTCGACCGCATGGAGCTCCTCATGCCCCTCCTGCCCAGCAGAGTGACCCGTGGGGAGACTTTCTTCGTCTTCGCGACCAAGCCCAAGCTGGACCTTCTGAAGGCCAAGGGATGAACCATGGGAGTGGGGAGCCTGATCGGGGTGACTCTTTGACGGACGATGAAAAACGCACTCTTGTGGTTGGGGGGTGGCTTCAAGATACCCGTCGTGCTGTGATCGAAGAGGAAAGCCTGATTCTCTTTCAGCATGAAGAGATCAAGTTGCTGCTTGACTCTGAGAAAATTGCAGTCTACGGACCCCGGAGGTCAGTTGGGATGTTGAAATTCTCTCAGAGACCTGGAGAAGGGTTCAACGATGTCAAAGAGAGGATGTGGAAAGTCGTCAAGGCTGTCGCTGCGCTCAAACATGTGCTACGTAGTTCGCGCCTTGCTGGAGAGGGCAAAACCATGTGGACCAGCTTCGTGAAGACTCGCAATGCTCGGGCAAGAAGCACGCACGTAAGCTTGATCCGCCGTGTTGCTGTGGCACTTGCAAAAGATAGCAGCAATCACCCTGGTGGCATTGGCGGAGCGAGCAATGGTGCGGACCTTCTTTCCTACGACTGCGACTGGAACTTGGGGACGATTTGGCTTGGCTCAGAGAAGCTCGGCAGTGCTACTCACAGACAGCCCCGTGAGGGTGAGATTATCACCATTGGTGCTGGCTGGATTTCCCTCACGGCAATCGCAAGGGCAGTGGGGTGCAGCACGGATGAGGCCAAATCGGCCTTCGAGAGAGAGATGTGACAGAAGGTTTGCCAAAGTTTCACTCCTGATGATGTCGTTGATCCCTGCACTCTTCCGAGATCTTCTAAGAAGAACGCTGGTTGCCCTTCCCCCTCGTCGTGTGCAAGACAGCGGTGGGGGAGAATTGGCCAGTGGAACTTGGGAGGGCAAAAGGCAGAGGACGTCGACTCGGTGTCTAAAGATCTTGAAATTGTATTTGTGCAAGAACTTGCTCGTGAACATCATGGGTGGAATTCGTTTGAGACCGAACACTTTCAGTGGTATTCCCATCGTGCCAATGAGCAGTGGAGAGGAGTTGCAATTGCCATTTCACTCGAGCATTTTGACTCGGTGCTGCACAAGGTTGCCACCTCCCGTGGCATTTGGTTGGTTGTTCGTCTTCGTGGGCTGGGAAGGGTGATTCTTGGGTCACTTCACTGTTTTACAGGGGTGACCAATGCCATCTATCAGGCGGCAGTTGTTGAATTCCTGAAAGCATGCCCCAGAAAGTATCGACACCTGCCTCTCGTATGTGGAGTCGACGCCAATGAGGTCCCAACCTGGAACATCGATGAAGAGAATCATGTCTTTGCTGACTCTGGCTCTTCCAATCTGAACCTTCTCGTCAATGAGATGATGAACATAGGTGCCTCCCCATGCGGTCCGCGGACTGAGGATCAGCGTAAGCCCACGCACTTCCCGCGTGATGCTACTAGGGCAGGAAGACACATTGATATGATCTTCAGCCGTCTGGCCAGACTCACGCCTGCCTGTGTCGATGCTGAGAGAAGACTTATGATTGGATCCGATCATGGGCTTGTATGCAGTGAGCTCTTCTGCGATCGTGGTCCCTCTCGGCAAATATGGGGTAATGATTCCAGACCAAGATGGGTGACACACGAGCTCCCGGGTGACTTTTTGATCATTGATGACGGTGACCTCCAACAACTCGCCAAGAGCCATACTCAGCCGAGAAGATCCAGGGCCTACCGAGACGACGAGGAGATCAAGCAGGCCATAAGTGCGGCGAGAGATGATATGCTACCGGCGAGCTGGAAACGTGTACATCGCCTTCGTCGAGCTGCCAGGAAAAAGTGGCAAACTGAGAGACGCACTGCCATCATCAACGGTGACTGGGGTGAGTACAGGTCACTTCAGAGGGAGAAGCAACGGTGCCGAGGTTGGTGGGGTGATTTGCTCGCTGACCGCTCCGCTGCAACCCTCACCAACGAAGTTGTTGAGCACCTCAGGGAGAAGATGACTGATGACAATGGGGTGAAGTGGGACGACGAGCTTGCTGAGACCATCAAGACGGTGAACCTCGAGGGTGACTTTTGCCCCTTCACCATCGAGAATGTCCGCGGCGAGCTTCAGCAGATGAAGTGTCGGAGCGCAGTCGGCCTGATGGAATCAGCGTGCACTTGCTGAGGGAGATTGCAAGTCATGACTTTCTCCACCACGGCCTCCTGGATCTCATCAACCACATTGTCCGTACTCAGGAGCAGCCTGCCATCTGGGAGAGAAGTTTTCTTGCTCTGCTTGCCAAATGCAAGTCCCCCCAGGCACCCTCCGATTTGAGGCCGATTTGCGTCTCGTCTGCGTTTCATAAGTTGATTAGCAGACTCGTCTGCTCGCGCTGCCTGCCCCTTGTCAGACGTGGATCGCGAATTTCCTGCTGCGGGAAGCAACGACAAACTGCAGACCTCATTGGCAGTGTGTCACGAGTGCGAGATGTGTGCAAGGAATGGTGTCAGCCTCTTCTTCTTTGTAAACTTGATGTGGCGGGAGCTTTCGATAAGCTGGACCGCCGGAAAGTAGTATCGCTGCTCATCAGCAGATTAAAGGGACGACATTGCTCTCACGAGCTGCGCTTTCTCCTTGGGCAATTACGCACGCACACCTTGGTTGGCAACGTCCCTGGAGGCCGAACCATCAACCTTTGCCCCAACATCGGGATTAAGCAAGGAGCTCCGGAAAGCGCAGAGCTATTCGGCCTTGTGATCGACTCCCTTCTCTCGGATCTCGTGCAGCAGGACCAGTGGAAGAAGTTTGGCTGGCCTCTGACGGAACTTGAGGTTGAACTTCTATTTTATCAGGATGATATCTTCCTGATTGAAACCGACCTAGCTCGCCTTGCCCGCCGCATCCGTGCCATTGATCGATGCTTGAAGCTCGCTGGGCTTCAACTTGCCACATCCAAGACTAAGATCGTGGCGAATGTGCACTACAAGGGATGCAGGAGGGTGAAAATTGGAGATGACGAGTTCAAAATTGCAGACCTTGGCGAGTCCCTCAAAGTCCTTGGGGTGCCCTTCTCTCTTGAGCATGATGCATCTCAGCAGGCGAGGGAACTCATTGGGCGTACACGTGAGGCCCTCTATGCGCATCTTGACATCATCGTCGCTCCGGGTCCTTGGACTCATAAGGTTAAGCTCCTCCGCAGCCTGGTCGAGTCGCAGTTTGCGTGGATTGGTGGGGCCCTCCATTGGAGCAGTGCCGACCTCCACTCCCTGAACCTCCTGCAGATACATGCATGCCGTCGGGCCTTTGGCCTCCGCCGGATCGCCGGGGAAGCTTGGCACGAATGGAGTACCCGAACTACCCGTTTCATTAGGGCTTGGCTTTTTCGTCAGGAGGTGCCGAGGTGGTCCACACGTGTACTCACCTTACAGCACACTCTTCATGGCCACTGGGCGCGTAGGTACGAGACTATCAACTACAAGCAGGTACCTGGCCCCACCCTTCGGACCCTTCTCTGGCGATCCACAAAATGGTGGAGAACACAGCAACAACTTAGTCCCACGATTGCCATGAGACACCCTCGGCGCTTCTTTGCCTCGAACCCTGAAAGACAAATTGCCCAGTCTCATGGCTGTGACTGGACTGACATTGCACAGAGCCGCATTGAGTGGGCAAAAGCGAGGAAGACCTATGTCGATGATTGGGACCTGCCCTGGTGTTCGGGGCGACAACTTTCTATCAGATATTAACTGCTACTTCAGCCTGTGTTTTGTGAAGCCATCATGCAAGTGATGGCTGAGAGGCATTCTGAATTTGGCAGTGATCTCCATATATTCAAGGTTTACATTCGCATCACGATGTCTTTTGAGCATGTCTTCGACATTCTATGTTCCTCAGTTGCTACATTTTCGCTTCGTTCGACTGCGCTCAGGGTTCTGTTACTGCATGTTCGCTGTTCTTGGCAGCCCTCAGATTCTGCACATGAGCATTTCACTCGGCGACTGCTGGCATAACACGGTTATGACTCCGGGGTGCTTTGGCTCGAGGACTTGGAAAAGCCACCTATCCGTTTTACCTCTTCGCGGCAATGTCCTGGGGTGAACGCCTCCTGGTTGGATTTTGTCTCGTGGTTCTTCTCTCTCGGGGAGGACCTGGTGACCTTCATCACACTGGCTGCTGGGACAATGAATGGGGAGCTGGTGAAGAGCCTGAAAGAACCCCCTCGGCATCAACGACCATGGTGGGGCCTGGTGGACCAAGCTCGTCATCACCTACATGCCCGGCAACCTGGACCTATGAGGACTACACCGTGCACGTGGCCAACATCTGGGATGAAGAACTTTGCATCGGTCTTCAACAGGATGAGATTGACGAGTTCGCGGGCAACCTTACCCCTGGACCTGAACAAGTTCCACTACCTGCTTTCATGGTGGACTACCCTGGGGTGGGACAGGATCCAAATCTGGTGGATGAAGATCTTGCCTACACGGGGGGAGCAACTACGGTTGTAGCCTGTGGACAGGACCCTGATGAGGTGGTACCACCAGTGAACACCTTTGAACTTGGTCATGGTGCTACCTCGTCGACGTCCTACTATGAGTGGCCAAGTACGGGTTCTGCACTGTCCTCTTCCTCTACCTGCACCCCTCCGAACCAGAATCTGAGGACCCCCAATCAGGCATCTTCGTCGGGACCATCCCCCTCTGAGGAGATTGACTGGTGGGAAGCCATTAGAGACAGAAGAGGAATTCGCGGGAACAAGCCTGGTCGTGAACCCAGTGGGACAAGCCATGAACCCGGACCATCTTGTGGCCGTGACCCTCGCTCTCTTCTACAGCCTGGCTCATCGTCTTCTTCATCGTCTACACGTGATGGTTTGGACCCCTGGGAGGCGTGGGTGAAGTCGGGAGTTGATAACACCAACACCTCAGAGGATGATAATGAGCCGGGGGTGATCCAACGCTTTGGTAAGTGGAGGGTAGGTCGTGATAGATGGCACAACACAAACGGCAGTCTTATTCACCGTTGTCGTGAGCAACCACCTGCCTCTGGAACCGATGTGGCCTTGACACCAGACCTCCCCACCATCGCCGAGGACGAGCACGCCTTTGCTGTTACAGGAGATGGACGTGTTGATGGACAACCGGTGGTGCATGTGACGACCGTAGCAGGTGAGGCGTTCCAGGTTTGGGCCAGCAACTCCGACGAGCTAGACAACCCAACTGACACCAGCAGCACCACTGCTTCGAGCAACACTGGAGGTCAAGCAGCAAATCCTGGATCGACGGCCACAGTCGGATTTTGGCGGGGAGGAGTTTGGGTGCCCCGACCCAGGACACCACACCTACGAAACCCTGGGGTGCAAAAAAAAAAGGCCTCAGGGCAAATGTCAATAATTAACGCATTCTCAAACAGGAAACGCAATCGCAGGTTCAAAACTTCAACGAGGCATTTCGTCTCAGGTTCAAGAAACGCATTGGATTATAGAAGGAAACGCAGTCGATTGCAGAAAGAAACGCAGCATTGTAGAATAAGAAACGCAATCTTTTTGGCATGGTCGCACAGTAACCACGTGCTGCCTCAGCAAGATAGCTTCGATCGGAGCTGATGCAAAAGTAGAACCCCATCCTATCTGAAGTGCCCATTTGGAATTGAACAGACTACCCTCGCAGCTCACCGAAGCTATGAGAACAGTTCCAGCAGGCCTTTAAGATATGGGTTTCCAGCTTTTCTTGAAGAACAGGAAAGGGGTTGATGGCGCCTACTCAACCTTCTATTGTTGGGGGACAGTAGTCGGGCTGATGGTGCTTTCGGCGGGCCTCTCGGCTCCACACGTCTTTCTATGACAAAATAAAACCTTCCATGGATATCCTCAATATACCCTTCATATAATGGAATTCCGTAAATCCTATGTAAAACGAATTCTGATAAAGCGACACTTAACTTGCACAGGGGCATCTTACGAACTGCGTGAGGCGTGAACCCTCAACCCTCACCCGCAAAATTATAATCCCTAAACCCCAAAACAACACTGAAACCCTAAACCGCAGACCCTACACCCTAAACCCTATAACCCCCCCCCC